CGATTTAATACAGTGTTTGATGCTGAGTAAGTCGGCAAATCGAATCTTTCTGAGTCCAGAGCCACATACTCCAGGGGATGTGCACCAATTAGAGAAGAATGTAGTGCCGGGATTGTTCGCCTTTGTAGTGTACCCGCTGGGTTTGATTCGGTGTCCTCCTCCCACACGCTAATGGCGTATGATACTACTACCTCTATGCTGTGATCTTCATTTTTGAACAGCACTAGCAAGCAAAATCGCCAGTCGTGGCATCTTTGTATGCCGGGGTGGAGTCATGCTTCCCGTAAACAAGATGTCCAGTTACGCCATCGTTGTAGGCAAAGATGGACTCCTGCTCACCACCTTGTGGTGGTCTCAATTTGCAGTTTAATAAGCAAGACAATGGAATCTTCGTCCATGACCCTTTGGTCTTACTGATGTAAACAGCCAATAGATCTGAATGAGACCTTGTTTGAGCTAGGTCCTGCCTCTGCTATTCCCCGAGACAAAGCTAGTTGTCCGACAGAATGCACGGATCTAAACTCTTCTGATTAACTAACAGTCGAAATTCTGCTGTTAAGCAAATTGCAATGGGGGTCTAAACATTATATACCCCTTCGGTGTATTCCGTAGTGAGCGGTGCCGGTGATGCTGCACGAGAGGGGCGGGATCGTCCCACGTGTTCACTGCTCCACTCGTCGATCCTCACCGACCGAGTAAATTGTCTGCTCACACTCATTCTAATGCGTTTTCATTTTACTCACCAGCGTGAATTGACACCATTATATTCTGTGGAAATGAATAGGATGGCAAGTTGATGCACAGGTTTCTTTTCGACTCTTTTTGCCATGCCAACCAGAGTACTTATATACTTCATCTTACACAGAAGGCCCGGAAGGCAAGAAAAAACTGCTAGATTGCATCTATCCGGAAAATAAATCTCAGAATAAAACCATAAATTAATATCTCCTAATAAAACGTGTACACTTCACCACGGTGCCACATTCTCGCCACCGGTCCCCACCCTGACTTCTTGTCTGCCAAATCTGATCCCGAAGGACACACCACAGAAGACTGCACAAACTGTTGGCCCAGGCATCTTCGAAGTGCATGAGTTCACTTTTGCCTTCGCAAAGTCTCTCAATTGCCGACCCGAACTGAGCGTTTTGTAGTGCTGATGCGGAAATGCCTCCGCGTGCAGTGGGCGAGGCACACCCGCCAAAGTTGGAAAGAGCGTGGAACCCGATTGTTTCTTCGTTATCCCATGAGGTAGGAGGTTCAGTCAGCGTTGGTTCCCCGATTGATATTTTGCTGTCGGACAAGATTCGGTTCAGGCTCGGGGCTGGATTACGCAAAGAACGACCCGTCCACAAGCTCTCCAGGGTTGCCTCCATATTGGCTTCCACATCTGCACTTGTGGTTATTGTTGCTTGGCTAGCCTTCTGTAAGATCCATCGCAGCGACAGAAGAGCAACAGGGCTAGTGCAGCGGCACTTGTCTGATTATGGGGAAGAAAACGAACTTGAAAGCATTTTGGAAGGTTGTTTGGAGTTAAGGGAGGAACTTGGGCTCTCACACGATGTTTCCGAGCCTGATGAGCCGCCAGAAGCGAAGAAGGCTAGGTTGTTCCTCATGTTGAGAGAATCCGGAGAAGCATTTGAACGCGCGAGAGAGAATAGTTTACAGCCGTTGCAAGCGGGGGCACGAGGTCTCACCCATGAGTCTTCTGCACGTGAACAAAGTCAACTATTGGGCGACCATACGTTGAATTACTCGTCGCAAGGGGAGATGTCTAGGTCTGAAGGGACGGCGTGGTTGCCTGCTGCCGCCCCAAAAAGGAAGTCTGCACGACGGCGCATCAGTAACGATTCTTTAGGAAGCGCGTCCACCCGAGTAATTCCCTCACCAAGCGCTTCACCAAAGGTATCCATTAGCGCTAGGTTGGCGTCCAGCCCTAGGGCCAGTTCAGGATCTGATGCCAAAGGCCAAAGTCCTGAAGACTGGCTGTCCCGAGATGTAGAAGGAAGTTCCCCAAAAGGAGAAGAGCAGGGACCCCCAGGAGGACAATCCTTGCACAATAGCCCAATACGCATGGGGCTAACAGGTTTTTCAGCACACACACTAATGAAGCATCCAGCAGTACTTACAGGGGCATCCTTTGTATCAATGTTAGGACCTGATGGCACACGTCATAGCCACGAAGACTGGTTATCGCCAGTTGCAAAAGCAAGTTCCCCAAAAGGAGACGAGCCGGTACCCCAAAGAGGAGAATCCCCGTATAATGACACAAAACTCATGAGGCCAACATGTTTTCCAGAAGCCACCTCAACAAGTGGAGCAGCAGAGGCATCATTTGTATCCAGTGATACGGAAGCCAATGAGGCTGCGGGCTATGACTTATCTACGGGTGCCGAGCAGAATGCAGCCAAAATGGCATCTGATCAAGAAGTGTTCCAAGAGAGGACTTCAGTGGGAGAAGGTGCGCAGCAGGCGGAAGAACGAGTAGATGATGTTGGTGTTTCACAGCATTCAACACCTGTTGGTCAATTGGTCGAAATGAAGTTTGCGAAGGAAGGACAGACTTTAGCAGGCAAGACCCATCTTCATCCTTTTGTGCGGCTCCCACCAACAATTCCCAAAGACATCACACAACTATTCAATGGTGTTATTGCTCTGTCAAGCAACGTTACTAGGGGTAGTCCAATGAAAGATTTCAATGTGATGCGCATGCTATTTGCAAAGCGTTGCCTAACCGGCCAAGACGTGTCGCAGCTGATGGCTGCGTGCAGATGCCTCATTGCCTACGCATGCCAAAAACTAACCAGTTCTCCCTCTAAATCGAATCCGTTCTACATTGTTAGAAGGCTGGCAGCGACATTTATGGTGTTTGACTATGTGGTCAGTACGATCCAGGTCTTAGGGGATAAAGCGAATATCCAGAGCTGGTGGCCACACTTCGTGGGACGGTTCGATACTGATGCCAACGTTGAAATAAAGGCTTTCACTCACAGTAACACTGAATATTTGGCAACCTTTTGCCAACGGCTGAGTGACGCACTGGCTATCTACAAGACGGGAGTACGCCCACCGCCTAACATCATTATTAAATTAAAAAGGGACATCCTTTCTAAACTACGGCACAACTCCATTTTCGAGAATTCCTCTTGGGAGCTCTGGGAAGAAGATGACGCTCTTTTTCACTGAGCTAGTGGAAACTCTAGATAGCGGCTTGGGGTATAATTACACAGTTTGCGCGTTGACAAGAGTCCGCGTTACTTCATTTCGTGGACCCGAACCGTCGTTGAATTTTTGCCGCTGCGGCCTCCTGTACTCGCAGCTAAACGCCTGTGCTGTTTGCATATTCAGCAGTCTCTCCCTGTGGCAAACGAGCGTCTTCCGCATGCTTAGAGTGGTCAAAAATACACAACCCTAGTATTGCATATGCTGTGTAAATGGCTAGCAACCACGGCAGCAGATTGTTTCACGCGAGAAAAGCGGTGGTGTGGGCGGTTAGTAACAGTGCAAGAAATAGTGCAGCGATTCGTATCATTACTGCTATGTACCAAGTACTCGGCTCCCAGCAAGATCGCTATTCAAAACACTGCGAGGGAACCGGTTACCTGGCTGTTCAATAAGTACCCGTGCAGTGAGTTGTATGTGGTATGGCAGGCATGCAGGCAGTATCCTAGTAGTACTTGGTTTGTGGGGTCGCTAGTAACGACTACTTGGGTAGCTGTTGCTGCTGCAGCAAGCTGCGCTGCCAAACAGTTCGTATCCGCTTCACGCCGTCAACAGTGCCATCTGATATCTGCCACCTTTGGCAACCTATTGCTGAGGCGAGAGCTAAGTAGCAGCTCCTGTGCGCTGCAGCACGCTCCACCCAGATCGTCATGCATTCTGATTTTCCAGTAAATAGAAGGGGTCTTCTGGAGCACATACTGCTACTTGTTAGCTTTTGTAGTTCCACTTGACTTGGCCTGCAGGCTACTCTTCAGCAGTAATGATTGAAGGCACGTCTTGTGGAATGCGTATACCTCTTCTGGCAAGATATTGCAATACCCGCAGCGGACAGCGCAGACCCAGATGCGCTGGCCTCTACTATTGTTTTATTCCAGTCAAGCACTAGGGATGCAGAAGAATTGTGAAAAAAGAAGCCTGTCCTGACCCTCGGTTTGCACGGATTCTGTGCAGGCATGTAGCCCTATCATGTTATGCTTAGCGCCAGATGACTGCTCCGC